AAGCGTCTGTGTGTGTAAAAGCTTTGTGTGTAAAAGTGTCTGTGTAAAAGCGTCTTTGTGCAAAAGCTTCTGTGTGTAAAAGCTTTTGTGTGTACAAGCGTCTGTGCGTAAAAGGGTCTGTGTGTGAAAGTGTCTGTCTGTAAAAGCTTCTGTGTGTGAAAGCTTTTGTGTGTACAAGCGTCTGTGCGTAAAAGGGTCTGTGCGTGTTTGCGATGCAAACTATTGTGTTGCACTTCTGCTATTTTGTCTTAATACTCCTCTTCTCGACTGCCTATAACACATCTTTAATATATTGTTTCTAATATGGTGTCTCCATACTAACAAGAGAAGACCTGCTCCTCTACGCTCTCGGGCCATCCGTCGTCTAGTTTTTTCCAGCAACCCTGATCCAACTCTCAAAAACGAAAGAAAGCATGTGTCCAAAGCACCGTGCCTGCAACATGACATGAAACGAAATCGAAAATCTCCCAGCTTCTACGCTTGCTTACCCAAAAAAGTCCCTGTCCAGAACAGGACAAAAGAAGCACCCTTGCCATGCAGCATGATTTCGGCGTGCAAAAAAAACTCTTGGTATATTTTGTCACATGGCCTACCGCATCTTTCATGGTTACTGAGTTTGTGCTTGGTCGCGAGCGCTGGGAGCATTGTTCAACCGACCCTCAAAACTAGCAGCTGAGATTGAATTGACAATGGTTTGGAGAGCATAAGAAGCTACTGCATCAAAAATAGCCATGTGCTGATTTGATGCCCTTTAATCTAGGTGGCGAACCATCGCCTTTTCACCAGCTCAAAACTTGCGCAAAATTCAAAAAGTTTCCGAGCGTCAACGGGTACTGCTCCGTGCTGCTTTAAAGCGAAAAGCGCAATGCAGTCGGCCACCTTTGGACCGACACCTGGAAGGCGACCTCGATGGACGCTGACCCCAATTTCTTCTGGCATTTTGCATGACAAGGTTCCAGCTGAAATCTGTGGTGCTCTCGCAAACCATGAAGAAACGAAAGTGCAGCCACAAAGAATTGCTCCCAAAGGTTTGCGTGGTAAAAATGATTATGGAGTCAGCCCCATCCCCAATTGTTTTGCACTGGGCCGGTCTCCCAAATTGCCGGTGAGTTGCAGAGCTCCTTACGTATTTCTAAACGTCGGAGCCGAAGCGCGTCGGGCCTCGGAGGCCCACCTACATGGGCACGCTGGCTTGTGAAATCTGACTAAGGTGAATGAATGAGGCAAGCCCGGCAAACCTTGCAAACCTGAATTCAAAATATGTTTCACCGCATTATGCTCTGTTGCGCTGTCTAGCCAGCAAGAAAACTCATTCAAGTCAACAAATGTTGTCCTTGAATGCTAGTGAACAAACCATGCACGGATATAAAAAAGCCACAGAAAGCACCGAGTGAACCCGCAACATATCAGGACCAGTTTCCATTCTCCATTTAACAAGTACTTAGTACAAGCAACCCTCAATCGCCATCTTTAAATCGTATTCCCAGGTGCTCCTCTGCCTGTAGGGGGTCCATCGTCTTCAGGTCTAGACTGCAGGGACGGATTGGGTGGCTGCCGCGGTAATAGCCTAAGAAATGGATTACTTTATTGAAAGAATTGGCGGCAGCTGATGAAGCCGGCAGAACGCCAGGAGTTTTGGACGTTTTGGGAGCTTTGGCTTGGCTCTTTCAATCTGGTAAAAGTTTATGGATTGTTGAAGCAAAAAGTTCATCATCCTACTGGCATTAAGGTTTCTGCTACGTCTACGCACCTCTTTGGGTTGGCTTCTGAAAAGAAACCTGATCACATGTTGCTGCTTGCAGCTGGCCCGCCTGTGATGTCTGCAGTCTTCCAACCACTTCAATGATTGGCCGTCCTGGAGACGTGTGCTTGCTTTGGAATGCTGAAGTGCGGGGAGCTAGGATTAGTGGTTTCAAAGCAACAACGATTGAACAAGGCTACCTACCCAACCTCAGCGTTTGGATGATGAAGCCTGAAAAGAAGTAAACAAGATGGAAGCCACGAACCCGAATGTATTCACGTTCTTGGACTACGAGTGAAAACCTCTGCAACGCCAAGCGAAGACTTTCTTCACGCTTCACACTGCACTCTTCACACCCCGCGCTTCACACTTCACAATTTGCAGTTCACACTCCACACTTCATCTCATCTCAAATCATGTCAGCTCTTCTCATCTCATCCCATCTCTTCTCACATGTCATCTAAGTAAGTTCTTCTCAACTGTTTTCGTCTTATCCGAGCACTGATCAACCTTTCTCATCACCTCGAAGTTCGTCTCAACTCATCTCCGCTGTTCTGCACGCCAGAAATCTCTTACTGTCAGAGAGAAGCCTCTTGCACAAAATAAACGATTGGGCGCAGAAACTTTTGCACACAGAAGCTTGAGACACAAATGCATTTACACAGAAAAGCTTTTACAAAATACTTTGCACTACAAAGCTTGCACAAAGCACTTCCCAGTACTACTTTGTACCACCAACCTAACCTTGCACAAAACACTTCCAAGTACTATTTTGTACTACAAAGCTTGCACAAAACATTTAGCAGTACTACTTTGTACTACAAAGCTTGCACAAAGCACGTCCCAATACTACTTTGTACTACAAAGCTTGCACAAAGCACTTCCCAATACTACTTTGTACTACAAAGCTTGCACAAAGCACTTCCCAGTACTACTTTGTACTACAAAGCTTGCACAACAAAGCTTGTCCAAAGCACTTCCCACTACTACCTTGTACTACAAAGCTTGCACAAAGCACTTCCCAGTACTACTTTGTACTACAAAGCTTGCACAAAGCACGTCCCAGTACTACTTTGTACTACAAAGCTTGCACAAAGCACGTCCCAGTACTACTTTGTACTACCAACCTTGCACAAAGCACTTCCCAGTACTACTTTGTACTACAAAGCTTGCACCAAAAGCACTTCCCAGTACTACTTTGTACTACAAAGCTTGCACAAAACACTTCCCAGTACTACTTTGTACTACAAAGCTTGCACAAAACATTTCCCAGTACTACTTTGTACTACAAAGCTTGCACAAAGCACTTCCCAGTACTACTTTGTACCTTTGTACTACAAAGCTCGCACAAAACATTTAGCAGTACTACTTTGTACTACAAAGCTTGCACAAAGCACTTCCCAGTACTATTTGTACTACAAAGCTTGCACAAAACACTTCCCAGTACTACTTTGTACTACAAAGCTTGCACAAAGCAAAAGTGCACGCAAAATGACGATGGACACGTCCAAAGTGCTGCGCCTGCCGCAAAAACTGCAACACATCTTCTGAAAACGTCGCAAAAGCATTGCGCCTGCCACACAAAACGACTTTCGGCACGTTATCAAACAGGTTGGAATGTCACAAAGTGCCACGCCTGCCACGCAAAACGACATGACAACCTGCTTGGAAGCCTTCGAAAGGAGAGGTTTTGCAGCTTCCCCCCTAGACACGGAATTAGTGACCCGACGACGACCTGACGACGACGCGACGACGAGCCGACGAGACACTTGAGGCGAACAAGGGTCCAGCCCCCAGACCCCAGACTATAAACGGGAACCCTCGCTACGCATTCGGGAAAAAATAGGTGCCAGACCAGAACAAAAAGCAGACCATTGAGGCAATTCAAGCGGCTCTTGGCAATTCCACAGGCCGCCAATCCTTTGAACCTTTTCCCGCCCTGACCGTGCAACTCCTTTTGCAGCAAAGTCTTTGCCGCAGCACGTACATAGGCCTCAGAGAGAAGGTGCAGTTTTGGAGGCTTGAATCTAAGTGAGGACATGATCCTTCCAGAGCCACCTTGAGGAGACATCGTGAGATATGATGTGATGAAATGTGGATCACAAGCTGGAAATGATTCAATCCCATTCAAACTTGTACGATGGGTGTGAGCCTTTTGCCGCTTACCAAAGCCCTGGCTTAAAGACAAAGCAAGAACATATAGAATCTTCTGGATCAATCATCTAAATATTCCAATCCTCCACAAAGAGTGTGAATTTTCCAGGTTGGCTTTTGCTTAGGGCGGCCAGAACTGGCTGTTTCTCACCCACCCAGCTTTTGCTTCGAAATCGTGCGGCCCGAGGTGCTGCGCGGTAGCCCAACCCAAGGGATTTCAAAGAGCTCTCCTGGTTCTCTCGGCGTTTGGCCAAAGATTTTGCACACCAGTAGCCAGCTGCATCTTGGTTGGTATATCGCCAAACTAAAAATAAGCAACTTTGACTGCGAACAAGAACCAGCTACCCCATCGCACAGTGGCTCCGATGCCGATGCCAATCGTTCTATGCTGGGGAAGGCGTAGAGCTTCCTGTGGTTGTTGAACTCGCGGAGCACCGCGAGGTCTGCGAAATCAGGGCTGACGCCACGCACGGGCCCGGTTTCGATCAGCGTGCAAAATATGATGGTCTCGAAAACACAGGTGTTTGGAAGCGAGCCCCCAACCAAACGTGAAGAACATTTCTAGGAGTTTCGTCAAATACGGATCCGAGCCTCCGTCATCTTGTTAATAGAAACGTGACAATGCATTCTTGATCAAAACCACGTCTGAAACCCCGATGTACAGCTCGCTAGATGCTTTGCGGCCGACTTTATACAGAATAGCCTGGTATAAACTGGAATGGCCACATGATTGGAGTCTATAAAGTGGAAATCCAACATGTTTTGGCTATAAAGCCAAAATCCAACGTTGTATAAAGTCGCATGGCCACGTAAAAACCTAAAATTCGATGTGGGTTTTTGAACATAATTGTGAACAGTTCCCATTCCTATAATGTGAGATGCCGAACATCCAGATAGTAGTACTTGTGTCGAACAGTCGCACTATAATGTAGTTTTTTCAGGAGTTTTACCTGGACTGGCCACTTTATAGAGGCATTTTCTGCTCGGGGGAATGAGATGGAGCGGGTATAAAGTGGCCAGTCCAACATCGATTCTGGTTTTTCCCGAGAGCGCCTGCGAAGGGTTCTTCGTAAAAAAGCAGCCGCTATAATACATCTTCACACCCTCACATCTGCTAATCTAGAACTTCACACCCTCACATCTGCTGATCTACATCTTCACACCCTCACATCTGCTGATCTACATCTTCACACCCTCACATCTGCTGATTTACATCTTCACACCCTCACATCTGCTGATCTACATCTTCACACCCTCACACCTGCTGATCTACATCTTCACACCCTCACATCTGCTGATCTACATCTTCACACCCTCACATCTGCTGATCTACATCTTCACACCTTCACATCTGCTGATCTACATCTTCACACCCTCACATCTGCAGATCTAGATCTTTACACCTTCACATCTGCTGATCTACATCTTCACACCCTGACATCTGCTGATCTACATCTTCACACCCTCACATCTGCTGATCTACATCTTCACACCCTCACATCTGCTGATTTACATCTTCACACCCTCACATCTGCTGATCTACATCTTCACACCCTCACACCTGCTGATCTACATCTTCACACCCTCACATCTGCTGATCTACATCTTCACACCCTCACATCTGCTGATCTACATCTTCACACCTTCACATCTGCTGATCTACATCTTCACACCCTCACATCTGCAGATCTAGATCTTTACACCTTCACATCTGCTGATCTACATCTTCACACCCTGACATCTGCAGATCTACATCTTCACACCTTCACACCTGCAGATCTACATCTTCACACCTTCACATCTTCTCTCGCTCTTCTTTCTATCTCTCTCTTAAGGGGTGCGTGGTGCCGCCGGAGCGCCACGAAACGGCAACCCTTTGGCACGAAATGGACGTTGGACGTCAAAAACTGAAGTAAAATTGCGATTTTAATTAGTCCATCGCAACCCTTTCGCACGAAATGGACGTTGGACGTCAAAAACTGAAGTAAAATTGCGATTTTAATTAGTCCATCGCAACCTTTTCGCACGAAATGGACGTTGGACGTCAAAAACTGAAGTAAAATTGCGATTTTAATTAGGTCATCGCAACCCTTTCACACGAAATGGACGTTGGACGTCAAAAACTGAAGTAAAATTGCGATTTTAATTAATCCATCGCAACCCTTTCACACGAAATGGACGTTGGACGTCAAAAACTGAAGTAAAATTGCGATTTTAATTAGTCCATCGCAACCCTTTCACACGAAATGGACGTTGGACGTCAAAAACTGAGGTAAAGTTGCGATTTTGAAGTATCCATCGCAACCCTTACACGCGAAATGGACGTTGGACGTCAAAAACTGAAGTAAAATTGCGATTTTAATTAGTTCATCACAACCCTTTCGCACGAAATGGACGTTGGACGTCAAAAACTGAAGTAAAATTGCGATTTCGAGGTGTCAATCAAAACCCTGACACGCGAAATGGACATTGGACGTCAAAAACTGAGGTAAAATTGCGATTTTGAGGTGTCAATCGCAACCCTTACACGTGAAATGAGGTTCGATCGCCCAAAACTGAGGTAAAATTGCGATTTCACGGGTCCGGTCTCTGTGTGTGAAAGTGTTTGTGTGTAAAAGCTTCTGTGTGTAAAAGCATCTGTGCGTGAAAAAGTGTTGCAAAGTAAAAGCGTCTGTGTGTGAAAGTTTCTGTGTGTAAAAGTGTCTGTGTGTAAAAGCGTCTGTGTGTAAAAGTGTCTGGAAGCTTCTTGTTTGGAACAGTGGAAAATTGTTTTTGGCCAACTCTAGAAACAATCGATGCTGGCAGTGACTAGGGGCGAATCCATGCACGTCTTTATGTGCTTGGCTCGTCGTGGGTTACAACTACTCTGCAGAGGATGCCGTCCAGTTGCTGCTTGAGAAAAGACGCGCCCTTGGCACAATCGCCCCTATGTCTTGGAGGCTTTGTGGAAGCTGGAAGGTTTGCGTACCGAGTGGCACATGGAACTGAGTGTGGCGGACGGAAATTAATTTGCACCACTGTTCGTCTGGAGAAACTGTTCGTGGCGAACCTGCAAAATCAGTAGCCAACTGCTGTCTGTCTGTACAATTGAAAAGTGTTGATCTACATGTTTTTGTGTGATCTAACTCGATGACAGACGATCTCGTCTTGGTACGAGTGAACAACTATATGCATGATCGTGCAATCTGAAATTTCCGAGGTGGCTCTTGCGCCAGTTTGGTACCGGCCTGGGTTTTTGATGGATGTTTTTGGTCTTGGAGTAAATCAAATTACTGGAATGTGTCCAGCGCTGTGCTATGCACTAAGGTTGGCACTTGTGAGCCACGACGTTTCACTGCGATTTCAAAGCATCATTTCGTGTTGGTATGTGTTGTAAAGCATCGGCCTGTAAAAGCGCCTGTGTGTAACGGGTTTTGTGTGTAAGAGCGTCTGTGTGTACAAGAGTCTGTGTGTAAAAGCTTCTGTGTGGAAAAGCGTCTTGGTGTAAAAGCTTCTGCGTGTAAATGTGTCTGTGTGTAAAAGGGTCTGTGTGTAAAAACGTCTGTATGTAAAAGTGTCTGTGTGTAAAAGCTTCTGTGTGTAAAAGCCTTTATGTGTAAAAGTGTCTGTGTGTAAAAGCGCTTGTGTGTAAAAGGGTCTGTGTGTAAAAGGGTCTGTATGTAAAGGCGCCTGTGTGTAAAAGCGTCTGTGTGTAAAAGCGTCTGTGTGTAAAGGCGTCCGTGTGTAAAAGCGTCTGTGTGTAAAAGCGTCTGTGTGTAAAAGGGTCTGTATGTAAAGGCGTCTGTGCGTAAAAGCGTCTGTGTGTGAAAGCGTCTGTGTGTAAAGGTGTCTGTGTGTAAAAGTGTCTGTGTGTAAAGGCGTCTGTGTGTAAAAGCGTCTGTGTGTAAAGGCGTCTGTGTGTAAAAGGGTCTGTGTGTAAAAGGGTCTGTGTGTAAAGGCGTCTGTGTGTAAAAGCGTCTGTGTGTAAAGGCGTCTGTGTGTAAAAGCGTCTGTGTGTAAAAGCGTCTGTGTGTAAAAGGGTCTGTGTGTAAAAGCGTCTGTGTGTAAAGGCGTCTGTGTGTAAAAGGATCTGTATGTAAAGGCGTCTGTGTGTAAAAGCGTCTCTGTATAAAAGCGTCTCGTTTCTGGACATCCACGGAATGATGGTACCGAGCTTTTTCGGCAATGTGTGTGTGGGAATTAACACATGTCATTCGCAGCATCATGGTACCGAGCCTCCTGTGCACTTTTGTTGCTCACATTATATTTCTTCATGTTTTCTTTCTATCTCCCTTTCTTTCTCTCTCTCTCTCCCTCTTTCTCTCTCTCCCTCTCTCTCTCTCTCTCGCTTTCTCTCTCTCTCTCTCTCTCTCCCTCCCCCTTTCTCTCTATCTATGTCTCTCTGTGGTTGCAAGACACGTGTCATCTGATGCCCTTTACCAAGCAGCACAATGCATATGCATGGGTTGTCACAAGTATCCTCTTCTTAATCAATCTTACTTTTCACACCTTATCCCTCCATAGCTCAAATAAAATTCACCAGCCATTCACCGACTATTTTTTACGACTACCATACTCAGAGCTGCTTGAAAAACATCTTTTTCGCTCTCGGGCCAACCGTCGTCTAGTTTCAAGGGTTTTACCTGGTCTGGCCACTTTATAGAGGCATTCTCTGAAAAAAAACTTCATCGATGTTGGTTGGACCACTGAAATCTTACATACTGATACATACTGCAGGATTGGACAAACAAAGACGTGGCAATTTTCACTCTATAAAGTGCTTTGCCATGTATAAAGCTCCAACAGAAAAATATTCGCTCGAAATCATTGGGGAGACATGTTTCTCTAAAGTGGATGGTGTGGCATGTTATGGCCATTCTTTGAAGGGAACCAACGGTCTATAAAATGTATCGCCGCATATATTGAGTCGTTTCCTTGTGGGAAACCAGCCGGGTATAAACTGGAAAGCCAACGTTGTATAAAGTCATCTTCCAGGTCCAAGGGCATGTTTCTTGCGCAAAACACGGCTTTATCCCCTATGGTCGGTGTATAAAGTGGCGACCGGAAGGCCACTTTATAAGCACAAAGGATGTCCACTTCATAGAGAGCGATACACCGGGGATACGTCTGACACATTCTGACGGTCACATATCAACCAGTCTACTGGTCCGTCCATCTTTACCGGACCTCCATCAGCTTGTGCATCGACGCCTGCAGCTATACTGCACAACACTTGGCCGAACTTGGCGCGCAGCCGATCCATCAACAAGCAAATGCGTGACCTGGGCAGACATGAAACCGCTGCAGGTGAAGCAACTGCCACTTTGTAGCTCTGACCTATGAAAACCATAGCTTTTGTTTCCGGTTTACGGTGCTGCGGGATCCTCTTGTACACTTCATGTATTGCTCCAAATGCTGCGCTACTTGAATCACAATGATGCAGAACCTGACTACCTCAGTTGCGATCCATGTGCTACTGCCACGCTCCCTCACGATGTGCCCAATAGCGGCAGTTTGCCAAGAAACACATTGTTGTTCTGCGAGCAAATAAATCCAAAGATCGTCTCCACCTTGCCAGTTGCAAGCGCGGCCCCTGACAAAGTTGCCCCATTGGAGCAAGCTCAAAATTAGGTTTTTACTAGGAACACCCGCATCACTTGACATGTAAGCTCCCACAAGCACTCCTTAACTAGCTAATGTTTTAGGCAAAAGGGGAAACCAAGTGTGCTGGAGGTTGGACTGTGAGCCATGATGCGTGTGAACACTTTGCTGCAATTAGAAGACTGGAATACCTCAAGGCTAACTGAACCAGCGGACAAGATGAAGCAAGTCCCAGCGAGGCATCTATCGGATGAACCTTTACAATGCAGGGAACATATTGTGACGCTTCCCTCACTTGACATATTCAAGAATTGTCACCAAAAACGGCAACAACTTGCGCCAGGCACCATATCCTGCTGCAAGACGCAAAGCCCTGGCAAGGACCTCGCCAAAGAACGGCGTATCATAAACCAATGAATGACAGTTTGGGCGTTTGTCGGATTGCGGCACAGATCATCAAGACTTGTCGTTGGAACAACAAGCAAGCCCACAGGCAACTCAACACCCTACAGATCAGATCCTCTACTCATTGCTAGCATTCCATTCCAATCCGATTTCAAAGGCCAAGGGCTAGACTGCGCAACTTGCGCCAGCCGTGGGCATCTTTTGGCCCAGGCGATGTGAAGACGCTCGGCGGTTTCGCGCAAGCCATCCTGCGGAACTGGCACTTTGACTTGCAAAGGGTTCTTTTCCAGTGTTCAAACGACTTGGACCAGTGACAAAAATCATGGACGATCTATGTCTTTCGACAAATATCTGCCTGGACCCAAACCTCACTCCATACCAAAAGGCTTTAACAACATACAGCGTGAAATTGAATGACCCTCATCACCCAAAGAATGGGACCACATTAAACGAACTGTGGAATGCCAATTTTCGGTAGTCAAGCCAAGCGTCACCCAAGGCGAAGAACTTCTGCACTGTTTCCCGCGTCACCTCTGGGCCTTCCAACATGAGTGACACTGGTGTTCTGAAGCACTGAGACGATCAGAGAAACCAGGTATACATTGGAGGAGCTCAAAATTTTCACCCACATGACATGGGCGCGGCGACGGATTGGAACATGCTGCACCTGCCAAGGTCTGCCATTGGATGCCCTGCTCCCTCTGCACAAATATTACGGCTGACATGTTCAGAACGCCAAGGAATGCGTCCTCACCAGTCAAGCGAAAACCTACGATTTTTGGATGAGTGTGGCACACTTTTTGTGGATCTTGGGGTTTTCCTAACTCAGATAGCACTCTATCCTGGGATCTGCAGATGGACATGTGAAGGGGCAACTGCTTGAGCAAAGAGCATTGCAAACCAAACATGTCGCCATCCCCACCGGTCACAAACAGCTCCAACAGCAGGCCGGATAATGAAACCAAGTGTATGTGTTCATTTTGCATGATTCCACTGGGTCACTGCCTTCCAATTTTCGAGTCCCATCCTGACCAGTCACATTCAGCTTCTTCCAGCCGAAGGATTGCCCAGGTGCTAAGCAAGATGAGAGCACCACTGGTGCGTCTATGGAGGTCCAATGGCCGGCATCTGCCTGGTGGAATGCAATGAACTTGCTTGAGAAACCCAACATGACACAGATTCATATCAAAACAAGAACTTTCCCTCCACAAACTTGTTTTGGGATTGACCCCGCACATTCGGAATGGCATTTTCCCCACCTGGAGTGCCACGCGCAAATCAACCACTGGCGCAACTTTGGCGCGGGCCTGGTGTCGGCTGGGGAAAGGATTCTTCACCAAAAATTAGAGGGCTTTGGTGTCATCGAAAGCTTTCTTTCAAAACAATACCTTTTACCAGGTTCTTAAGGTCCAAGATCTTTGATGTCTGGGTCTCGGTTGTGCAGGATCCATCGTCGCACGCCACCTCATGGCGCAAAACCCCAGCCGGCCACATGGTAGTTTAGCAGCATCATAGAGACAGTCAGTCTTACCGTCTTACCATTGCAGCATTTTGTAGGATTAGGTTTGGGTTCAATGTAATTTGTCGACACAGTGAGGTGAGACAAGTTGTCCTTATGTGCATGAATCAAGCCATGCACCGGCACGCTTGAAAAATAACGCACGTCTACTCAGTGACTTCAAGATGTTGTCTGCTTTGCGATGTGCACCGTCTTTTCTTCTACTGTATCCCAACTGAAAATACAGCTGCGGAGCTGTCGCAACAGTCAGCCTTCACGCATTCTTGGGTAGACCCTGTAGGAACCACGCAAACCCAACCGTTCTTTCCAAACAGTGGGTATCATTTCCTCAATCCTTTCCCCGCAAAGTGGATCAAAGTGGGATATTTTCTATGATGGTTCTGCGATTTGTCAAAGACCTCCGTGTTGGAGGCCCATGCTCTGCGAGTCTCCACTTCACGAGTAGACCTCGGCGGGAGGGTAGGGGGCTTCAATGTCAACAGGTGGAAGTGGAAAGGGCAACTTGTGTCAAACCTTGACTCACCAAAATTTGCTATGGGTCACCGTGACTCAGCATAGGTGCTCCAGTTGCCACTGCTGGATCCTCTCAGGATATTACGAAAACTTTGCCCGGAGTGGAGGTCAGCCTGAAGCGATGCTGTGTTCATGGGATGAGCTGCAAAAAAGTCGATCAGGATGGGAAGCATCAAGGGAAAGCATGGGAAACTGTCCGATTCCAATGCTTGAGTTTTTGCAGTTTGTCATCGTGTGTGTTCTGTTTTGATGACTTCCCTGGAGACTTTTCCGGATCCAAATCTGGGAGCCAAACATATTCCTTGCTCGCTCATGTCCTACAATTCGCTCCAATGCAAACCTCAGAGACTCAGTGACTTCACGGCATCCAAACAGAGACTTTGCTGTCCTTCTGAAATGATTGCAACCTAAGCCTTCGTGTGAAGAAGATGACAGTATGTTGTGCGCCACCAGAACCTGTCTGGTGCAGTTTCTTAGTTTCAGCCCATCCCCAAAGCATCAGCCTACTGGTTTCAGCACCACCACATCACCATGATGATCACCATGATCATGATCATCATCATCAATTTCAATCATGGATCATAGGAAAGTATAGGAACGATAAGAAATATGGGAGCCAGCCAGTGGGAATCAGTTGCTGGATCTGGGAGCCGCACGCATCGTGCTTTGTGAAGAGGCACATGGAGTTACACTGCGATGGGACGCGAACGGCTCCCAAGACCTGAACAGAGTAGCTGCTGTGGTGAGGGTATCCCGGGAGTACCGGGAGTGACTTTTTTCCTTGCTAAACATAGCTAAACCATGTATTGAAACTTTGCAGCCAAATATATTGAAAAAATCGAAGCCCACCAGATCTGTGACTTGGGTCTGATCTAAGGTTCCTCCACTGACCTAGCTAGCTTGCGTTTTGAAAAATTACACCTGTTCCACCTGTGTGACGGGGCTAACTGCAGAATCACCTCAAATCAGCTGAGCTGACAACGGTTGACAATGATCCAAACCCTTCAGATTTCCGGTTGTGAAGGAAAACTTTCATGATACAGCAAGACCCTATTTTGTTTTGGCAATCCCTCCGCATCTACACCCAGCCAAGATGTCGCCATTCACAGCTAGAAAGCGTACCCATGTGACCTGTGCCTGAGTCAACCCTTGCTGCAGGTGTCGCCTCCTCATAAATCTCGGCTGTTTGTGGCACACCGTAGAAAAGTACATAATTTGCACCTGCAGCCAAAGTTTTGGGCCCGGTGAATCTTGGTGGATGGGCCATGGCCGCTTTGCCGTGAGTTGATTCAAGACCTTCACGATTCATCCTCACTTTTGTGCATCACGTCCTCTTGCTCATGGTCTATCCCAAATTGTGCCAACAGAGAGCCCTGAGTCAAAGTACCCACAATACCCACAATGCGTCAGGACTGCATGGTTTAAGCATGAGAGCTGTCAAAATCCAGTTCCATCAACAGACCAGACTGGCAACTTCCAAAACACGTGCCCGCTGCCTTTCAATCGAAACCGTCGGTACCACAAGAAGCGCCTCGGCTGTCAGGATCCTCTCTGAGGACAACTCCCAGACAAGCCCTTGAACGTCCTTGAGCCCTGTCAAGACTCTCTTTAGATCATGGACACCGCAGGGGGGAACGGGAAAATAAGTGAACACATGTCTGCACTTTTTTTGGTAAACTGCTTGTTCTGTCATCCTGAAACACAGAATTGTTGTGAAACATCCCCCTGTGTCAGGAGCAAACACCATCGTGAGAACCTCAAGCAAGCACCGGACTCCGTCACCAGGAGCAGCCGCCGCTCATTCTGGAAGAAGTGTTGTCGCGCGTGGCCCACGGCCTTGTGGGCACTGGCATACTGGTGAGCTTTAGACCAGGAGACCAGGTCCACCTGGTAAAATCCAGGATTCTCTGATACAGTTTCGACAACTCTGACCACTTGTCGAATTATTTTAGGGTTTCCACATCATGCCAATGGTTGCAGTGACAAGCGTGGGACATTTCGGTCTAATCTTGGGTTGCTCGTTCTGAAATCCTATCACTGCCTTTTCACCACTTGCAGCAACAGCCTGAAACCAAACTTGGCAGCTGTCCTTCGGTGTGGAGTATTCGAAGATGGAACTGAAACTCGCTCCCTCCTGCAACACTGAGAGACTGTGAGGTACTGATGGTATGGTCATCAAAGTACTTTTATTGCATGGGGAGAACTGATGATATGCAGAAGGTTGAACCTTCACACGCTTTTCCATCAAACCCAACTGGACAATTGCTGTAATGTCCAACCTAGGATAAATCACATGTCTGGAAAAAGTTAATTGGCGGTCCTCACGCAAGAATCTCCTCAAACGCAAGAAGTTGTAGTAGGTCCTCAGTGGTCGAAGACTTTTCAGAAAACTGAAAATAGCTTTACTGTAGCTTTGATTTCATGACATCATCTTGACTGAAACCAACAGCTGATGGAGGTTGATGCCCGAACCATCGACTTCAGGGTGAAAGTATGCTTGGAAAGCTGGCATTAAACCTACACCTGCGGCCTGTCAAAACCATGCCGACATCCTCAAGTAAAGGATCTGGCCATGCTTTCCCCAAATTATTGTTTTGCCAATAAATTTGAGCCCTTCAAGATTCCAGTCAACCCCACATGACTTCAAATTGAATCAAACCCAAGACAAGGTTTCGGAATCGCTTTTCCAAAAGACTCAGAAAGTTGTTTTCGATGCTTCATTTTTGAAGAGTAAAGCGATTGCAACACTACTCCCATGATATCCCATGTTCTAATACAAAACAACGCCCAATAACGTCCAAAGTCAATAGATCCAGCACTAAGCCAGGATTTTGATTAGTAGGTAGTACAAGTAGGTACAGTAGTACTTGATATCAGGACATATCCACTGACTTCACCATGGTATACCCTCGGTGTCCACACGTGGCCACCACCAGGAGTCCTTCTAAGCTGCTGCCCAACGGGCGCCAATATCTGCGCAGGATGAGTGAACCAATTTCCAGTAGCTATTGCCACAAGAGAAGCACAATGGGATTTTAACAGTTGGCCATACCTGTCAAAAACATGGGAAGCCAAAGGACATCTCCAGTTTTCCGTGAATGCAAGTATTTTCTCACTCTCTGTCGCAGAAACATCACTCTTCTCAAGTGGGGCATCATTGGTAAAACATGGGCAAAGAGCTGGGGCAACATCTTTGTCTGAACAAAGCTCTGGGGGCTCCAGCCTCGTTTCAAATGTTTCAAATAGACGATCCGATTGCTGCGCTAAGGACTCGCAAGGCCTTGGCAACCACCCTGAACAACTTTCCTATGGCTATGATGGCTTGGTTCAAAAAGTGTAGCAAAGCAAAGCTACACTGTTGTAAGTGCTATTTCTACCGCTGGGAAACAATTTATGTCGTGTCTAGCGACATCTTTTTATCAGTGATCAATGCCTGAAGTAAAGTCGAATCATTTGGTTCCATGGTGTTCCATGCATATTCAGAACGGATCCCAACGCTCGGATGATATTCCGTCGCTAACCTTTCAGCAACTCATGGCAACTCAGGCAACTCATGCGAAAATCTGCAGATGTGACTCCCAAGACCCTCGGACACCGGACGTGTGGAGGAAGAATTGTCTCGAAATGCCAAACGCAGTGGCCTGGCTGCCAGATGTGTCAAACCTTGCACGCCCCAAATTGGTGGATCATGACTTAATGACTGGCATGGAGGTGTCATTTTGCATCCAAATAGATCAAGACGGGGTGAGCCGGTGTAAATGGACATTTCCGATCGCTAGGTCACACTACTTGAGGGTGATTGAGTAACAATCCATCACCATGGACATCTTTAAGAGACAGCCACATGCCAGGCCTCTCGAAGTGGAGCCCCTTCTGCAAATGCGGCCTTGGTTTGCAGATGGGCCACTCCCGGCATACACCCAGTACATACAACACATGTAGTCAAGTATGTATACATACGTATTTACATAGCATACAATATGATATGATATCATAATTTACAGAGATTTACACACATGCACAGTCAATAATGCATGTCCTGTCTATATTTCAAGCAAATGTTGAATCTGCAAAGGGCCCAAGGGTTGTCTCATTGATGTGAGGTTTCCCGCTCCGCGGATATCTTTTCTTGTCCGGCCATTCTTTTCTCTTCGGGCGCTTCACCATCGCCTGGGGAAAGGACCATCAAGCCACCACCACCAGTTCCAGTTTCCCATGTCTAAGTTCGTTTACCCTGCTTACCCTTTATCAATGCGGGCAAGAAGTTGCTTCAAAACCTAGTCCAGATTATCTAGGTCCAACCAGGCAGGTCAAAACTAGAAGTGATGGAATTCCCATGAGCTGGGCACAAACCCCAACCAGCCCTTAAAAAATGGAAGCTAGCCTCCACGTTTGATGCCCCTTGGCCGTGCAGCACGCAAGTGGAACAGCCGCAAGGACTCTGGGACGAAGGCAAAGTAACCTGCCAAAGGGGATCAGTCGCTGAGAGGTTTTTGAATTGACTTCAGCACAGCTACCCGCACGTATCACATGGCCAATCGCTCAAAGCTCGTGTTGGTTCACGTCAGCCAAACTTGTGGTCTCAGTGCAAACCGATTTAGAAGTGCAATGCCAGTCGGAAGGGCAACTCCAAATAGACCATCAAGGTGACAGCTGTTTATGGGCTGCTCAGCGACTGGCCCAGGAATGTGATGAAGTTCACGTACTGTGGTGATTTTGTACTCACTGAACATCCAAAGGTGCCTCCTTCTTCGTTCGGAAGTTGTTGTTTTACTTCGACCTCAAAGCCTTTCTCCTGCCTCAGTGCAAGCGCAATGATTCACCATGGCAGGGTTCAAAGACCTGCAGTATGGCTTCTATATTCGGTTTGGGGTCATCTAACAGTCACTTGGTTGATTGTACATCAATACGTGTCACTCCACATCCCATGTGCATGTGGATTGGGAGGGACCAGGTTAAGACAGAAAGAAGAAAGGTTTCAGTGTCTAAGGAAGTTTGGAACCACAGACTAAAGTGACTAAAGATAATGGATCGCACATTGCACCAATACGCACGATGCTGCTTAGTTTTTGACTTCAACAAGTCACAGAAAAATAGAAGTCATTAAAAGTCACAATTTCTCTCCCCCTCTCTGTCAGTGTCCGCCGGTCGCTTTTCTCCAACGAGTGTGATTCCCGGAACAGTTGAAGTCAGCAAAGGTTGCCTCGCACCAACTGACCCCATGGTTTCACATATCCTTGAACCACTCGTTTCTCCTGCAGAGCCGAGGTGGATCTGGTGGTGGATATAGGCGTAAACTTCAAGGACAAGCAGTGCAAATCTTGGTTCCTTGGTCAGGACTTTGCTAGAAGTCTTTGACAATTCATCAACATAGTTTGTATATTCTGTTTGCCAGCACTTTTTTTGCTTGCCGTATCACATCACTTCCCCAGCAGAGTTCCTTGAGAGACAAGATCATGTCGTCGAAGGCAGGTAGTGGCCGTCCATCTTTGTCCACCACCTGGCGCAGCCCCACTGGCCGGTGGTTTCGCCGTTCCCCCGTCACAGGATGTCCCAGGCCCGGCCTTCTTCAGGGAGTATGAGCCATGCTTAAAAGGACGCCCCAGGACATAGGTGGTCCGGGCGAATTCGCTTTCATCCATCTGCTCAATGTACATTGCAGAGCACGTGAGCCAGTCGATATTGAAACATCCTGAGGGAAAGGTTGGGGTCGAATGGGGACGACCTGCTTTGAAGCCAAGGCTCATGAACAAACCGATATTTAGGGTCATGCCATGCCAGGCACTCTACCATCTCACCATCTCCAATTGATGCCACAATGAAATCTTGGAGGTCGAAACAGCCATGTTCCAAAGCTCTGCCCAAACATTTTCCAGCTCTTTATCCGAAATTTATAAACCCAACAATACGTCAATATCGAATCTTCTTCGGGTGGCGAGCATCCGAAAAGGATGCTGGGCAAATAGGCCTTCTGATAGCCCTCCTCCCAACGCACTTGGAGACTGTAAATGGGGTTCACGAAGGCAAAGAACCTAACAGCCCGGCAGTGGGATGCAGTGAAAGGTGTCTGTGCACAGATTTAGGATGATTAGTCGGATCTTCTTTGGGTCTAAGGACAGTTAGACATCTCACCCATCTACAAAAAAATCCTGTCCGGCAGATGAATCCGAGGAACAAGTAAAACGACCAGCCCACGCAGCTGTCGCACCAGACCCATGTATATGAGCTGCCGGGATAGAGCTTCATGGTCCTCCAGGCACCGTGGTCTCAGGGATGTGAAACATATATCGAATTTCAGGGACGGGAAAGAGGAAAGAGATTCTCCAACTGAAAGAATAAGATCACCAACTTTTGAGCATTCTCAATTCCATGTCAGGTGGGTTAAGTCGACTTGACACATGGAAGAGCATCAGCATTTGATGCGATAGGAGACACATATCAAGATCAAAAGTGAGCAGCGAGCTAGAAGGAACGATGGACCCCAAACCATCAGTTTTGCAACTTTCACAATCAACGCGAGGCTTGATCAGGCTTTACAACCCACTTGCTGGCTATAAAGTAAGTTCAGTAGGATCACCCAAGTTCCCATCTCTATTTACAAATGATTTATCCGTCAAAAACTCATCACTTCTGAAGAATTTCACTTCTTTTTTCACCCGTTTTGGTAGATGTTTGGTGGATTTTTTCTATCCATTTCTTCGCATCGGCTTTCATTCCCTGGCCTGGTAGCGGCATCGAAGGCCGCAGCCTGGAAGTTGATGCAGAGCTCCGGCGAGGGATCGGTGCTGAACCAAAAGACCCCCTGGAACTTCTCCGGCAACTCCTGGAGATGTGAGGCCCAGAGGAGCGGAAGTTCATGAAAAAATGTGAGATATTGATATTGGATGATATTGGTTACAGTTGAATGGTGACTTTCAAGCAACAAGATTGAGGCTTACCAATGATGAATGCTTCTCAAAATTGCAGGCCAAGGGTCATGACCTTCCCTTCATGGACCATAGGGTCCCAGTGAACCCTATTGATACATCCCAGGGATGTGACGTTTCTCCTTGGTACCGGGATCGTCGGTGGAATCCTTCCAGTACCTCACAGCTGCGTTTTCAGCGCAGTCAGCTGTGGCAGGAGGAATGAAGCTACTTAAACAACCCAGGCCCCCAAAACATGATACATAGATTGACATAGACTTACATAGAATCCATTGATTTACGTGACCATTTCAATGGATGGAAATCAACATGCCGCACTGTCGGATCGCCGCAAACTAGGCTTTTCAGTCATACCGTATTACCCAATTCTCCATCACAAGATTAATATCTTTCCCAATCCGCTGACGGCCCTATCTCCGATAGTGCGCCAATTCTTCGGCACATTTTGAAGTTAATTAGTTGCTCCAGCTACATCTTAGGAAAACCATATCAATCAATAGTCAGTAATCAACATCGAAATAGATTTAACCACAGTTCACCACAATTAACCACAGTTAATGGATATGTACATCCCCAAGTAGCCCATCCCCCACCTGAAGAGCAGCATGGCCGCCTCATCTGCCAGCAGCCGCTGCACGCAGCGGACAGAGGACACCACGGAGAAGAAGAGAAATGGCAGGGCCAACAAAAAGGCCCACCTTCCAAAGGCAGCTGTGGAATTGTTTTAATATGTAATTAATATGTTATAATTTTGATGGCTTAAAAAAATTGGAGGGGCCCAAATAATGATAATATGTGATAATCTGGTCCTGAAATGGTACCGTACTCCAATGAAATGTCAGAACAAGCTTATGAATCCGAGGTTGACCAGGGTCCATGGCCTGGATTCGGGATTTTGAACAAAACTTTGACTTGAAAGATTGATGCTTTGCAGATGTTTGTGAATGCCAACAGATCCCCTTTCCAATGTTTGGGTGTCGAAACTCGAGTTAAGATGTAGCTTTCTGGACCTTGGTGCCACAGATTTTGTACAAGAGAAAGGCCTGACGACCGCCAGCACGAAGCTTCGTTCTTTGAGGTCCGGCACCGCTCCGCTGAACTTCAGTGCAGTAGCCAGGGCGTAAAGGACCACGAGTAGCGACAAGAAGTTCAGGGGGATGGCGTACCATCGCGGACAAATCTGCATCACAAATGTCTCAATGGAAGTTGGAATATGCTTTTGGGCTTCATCTTTGAATTTAGTTTTGGATTTTGCACTGACACAGCATCGTCAAAGTCTTAAAGGATGTGTTGTCATGAAATATCAGAAGCTGTTGGGTCATGTTCAGTTGCCATTTCCTGCAGTAGGACTAAAGATCCTAGATCAGTCGATCCTTTCGTTTAGTGGTTTTCATTTCCTGGATCCACTCAGCTGCAGAGAGTATGATGAACACCACTGGCTAAATATTGTCATCCCCGAAAATCGTCGAAGAATCTCGAACAATCCAAACTTCGAACGTTTAATGGTGTCCTCCCCAGATATGACCAACATCCCTAGTCTGTGTCACCATCATGGCTCCCCAGATACCTCCATTTTTGCTGTATGTACATCATTGCTGGTCATATCATGATTGCTGGATACGTTCACTTTTTCTCCAAATCCCCAACCTTGCTGAGGTGTTTATTCCCATCCCATCATTGCTTCTTGAGGTCACCACATTTTCCATTGCCAATCTCTCGACACTGTACCCTGCAAAATATCACTTTTTTTTTTTAGCAGGCCAGTAAATATTCTCATGTATGATGTATGACACAAGATTAAAGTACCATAAAAAATGTACCCATCGAGTTAGTCCGCCAGTCTCCATGTCGGTTTTCTCAGTGCTCAGTCGCAAGAGCTGTTGGATGCGATGCAGTCGGCCATGGATGTCGTGCACTTCGGCCACCACCTGCGCTAAAAAAAACCACCACAAAGATCTCTTCAACAGAATCACAGGACGATAACATCTATATTGATACCACATCCAATTGGAATCCAATAGAAAAAGTCAATGAAAAAGGACCCTCAACTCTTGGGCTGTCGGATTTTAAGCGGGTATAGCCGTTCTGATGCTCTGTGGAGCATATGTCGAGAGGCGAGCATTCACTAGGAGATCAGCAGATGATGTCAACAACTGGATGAGGGACTGAGATGATTCACGGTCAAACTCAATCAATGAAGCTCAAGGAATCCAAAAAGTCAACAGCCGAAGCTAAGGTCCAAAAAAGAACAGAATGTGTCACAAATCAACTCCTGCAATCCTCACTTTCAAACCGACGAAGCCCTGCACCTGTCGGATCCGTGGCCAATCTTCTTCATCGATGCTCTGGAAAACAGCCTCCTGAGGGGTTGGCAACCAAAGCCCGCGGAAAGAAAATGGGATGTCGGGCTAGCCTTAAAATGGATCAATAGATCTCAATAGCAAACATAGAGAAAAAAAACCCTAGATTCCTAGATTTCTAATACTGTTCGTTTTGCATGGATTTCATACTCCTTGGCAGGGCTTCACTGGGTTCACTGGTCCTCGTCTCCTTCAACATCAACCTGCAACGACCAATCGACAAGCAGTGACTGATCTACTTGGTGAGTCAAATTTTCTGATTGTAGATGTGTCTCCAAGCTAAAGCAAATGACACCAGTTCTTGTCGCATTCTGGCGATATTAATATGATTCTTTATGATACACCCAATCTTGTGGTGGTTTACAAATCGGTTTTTGAACATACCAACTATGATTCCCTTCCACCCCTGAAATTGAAGCCTTCAACAATTCCACTGGACCCTGCAGGCCCGACGACCGCAGCAAAGTCGATAGTCGCTGCACAGAGCCTTGACAGCGTCAAGTCGCTGAGATCAGAGATCCCTCTGTGGGTCCAAACATGTCCTTTATATTGGCCAAATTCTTGCCGTGCAATTCTGGGCAGCTTTTGAACCTCAAAATTGTAGGGAACATATCCTTGGGTTTACATCTTCCTGGCAGGATCTGACCTTCCCAAATTGTCTTTTCTTACTTTGTTGCAAAGCACCCTTGTGGTAGCATGATTCATGATTACTTGCAATATAATCCAAATTGTTTCGCTGTTGTGTCCTTCGTTTACCCTTCTTACCTTTTGCCTAAGTCAGTTTTTGGCCAAAAAAACGACAACATTATTAATTTGCTAGGGGTCTCCCCACCAAGAAACATTGGAAGGACTGCTGCAGCTGTGGCGTGGCCAGTCTCTTCAACTGTGGCCTCATCATTTAGCCACTGAATATGTTGAAGCATGGAGGATCCAAATTCCAAACACCTCAGCAAATACTGATGCCCTCTTTGAGTGATCCCTTGCCCAAGCTGGATCATCTTCGATCATTTTCCGGTAAGAAAATCTTGTTGCTTGAAACACTCCACAACGCACTGGAAAATGATTCTGCATCATTTGAAATCATGGCCATTTGTTGTCGCAATTTTTGCACCACTTTTGAAGGTAAACCACCATTTTTGAAGGTGCGCCCCCATAAGTGGTTAGTTAAATTCCTATTTGCGATTATTGATCTCCTAGACATGTCAACCAACCGGAACAGTGGAGGATTGATCATTTTTTCGCCATGCTTAACCCACAGACCACAGCATATGCAGGTCTTCTGTCTTGAGTACAAGTCAAAATATAGATCGCTAGAGATAGCTAACAAAATGGATGCAAAGTACTCCAAACGTATTAATTGCATGCGAAAATGTCGGATGCAAAATAGATGCGCCCAAACATACTATAGCACCCCGAAAAAGATTGAAATGTGTATTCAGTGTATTCAGGATGGTTTGATGATGTTTCTGTATATTTCCCCCGATCTTTTCCGTCGGTTTCCGTAACTTTTCCACCAAGCATCGGAGCTGTCACGCCCGAGGTCTCTGCTGCTGCCCAGAGGCGCTCGCGCTGCTCAGCGGCCTCATGGTCGAAAACATGGGTTGCGTATTAACTAAGTTATATAGTATGTCATCATATGTATATATATATATAAAAGTATAAAATATAGTAAAATATAGTAAAATATAGTATATAATATCATAATAACAAGTCGTAACAAGTCTATATTTTGCCAAACATCTTTGAACATTTGGGGAAAACCATGGGAAAACCCTCTAAATCCCATGGTCTACAGCTTCATTTTCTCGGTTGACATGAGCCATTTTGGGGTATTCATCTAGCAGAGAAATCCGAACGGACTGGGTCTATCCAACCGCATTGAAATAGAAAGTTCATAAACCACAGAGGTTGAGGGAATATAACCAGCCACATTCACATTGATTATCCATACATCCACATCTTAATCAGTGGGTATTTCTCAAGGATAGTGTGGGATGCACCTAAAGACCAAAATCATATCAAATCACCAATCGAATACCAATCCCGCGGCCTCCTGTGCATGTCTCGTAGACTCCCCAGGCGCCCAGGGAAAGTAGGCGAAGTCGGCCACCTGGCGATCCCAACGTCAGCGAGGAGTTGGATACCGAACATCGGCCGATTGCCCCATTTCTTTGGAGTTCCATTGGATATCTGATCTCAGCATCCAAAGCCGATATAACGAACCCAGTGAGATCATCCCCCACAGCTTTTGGGACATGAAATGCTCCAGGATTCCAGGCACGTCACAATCCCATCCTCATCTTGAGCGCCCACAGCAGCGGCGAGCACCAGCACGTCCTTCACCTGGCTGTTGTGATTCCAGAAGCCATGTTTCAAGTCTTAGTATCACTCGTGACCGATCCTAAGAGATACGCAAAAGCTCACATCACGTCGATCCTACGGTACTCAAATTCAAGATCTCATGGTCTCATCGGTGCAATCCACCAAACAAGCTTCTTAATTGTGGATATCTTTTATGGTTGCGACACACCAAATTGAAACCACCGGAACAAGGTGATGTGATGGCAACCACAAGGCAAAACACTCACCATCTCTGCCTCCTCCAAGTTTTCCTGCAACTTTTCCAGGTTTGGCGGAAGGGGCTCGATACAAATCCTGCAGTTCAAGTGAGGAAATGTCGGTTGGGGTCGACTTAGCTGTGGTGTCTTGATTCGGGAAGGGATGTCACCAGATTTTGGCCCAGGACTTTTGAGGGCCATGTTTGGGAAAAGATTGCCGAGAGGTGCAAGAAACCTGCTGCCAAGTCACAGTTGGCACTTTGTCCAACGCTCTCGCGCCCAAAGGGCAAACAGCCCCACGTTGGCGCCGACATCCACAATCAAAGGTGCCTCGGTTCTGAAATTGTGTACGAAACAGGGAACTCGAATGGGGTTGATGCAAATGAACAAGAATTTGCAGATAGATCGGATAGATGGGGGGTAACAAATCAAACACGATGATCTTCGCACCCAAAGTGGGTGTTGACGAGGAGTTTGGCCACCATCTTGCAAATCATGAGACAAAAACATGTGTGACCATAGCCAGTTGGGAAGAAAACAAACATGCTGAAACCAGCCAGCAGTTTGGATTTGATCCACACGACGCTGAACATCTGGATGAATCAAGCAGAGCAGTTGGGGGCATTGGATCAAAAACACATGCGTTCAAGTCTTGAACTGTCCACCATAAAACTTTTGGAGTTGCTGCATTCTTCGAGGGTCTCAATGGTGGCTCTTGACCCTCGAAGAATCCAATCCAACCGGGGAAAGAAATTCGTCCAGCACCGCGGTTGGGCCCAGGTGCACCGTCAATGGGCTGCAGGGGTTCGTAGCAGTTCTTCTCAAAAATCTCATGGTGGATGAATTCCTCTTCCTGCAGAATCTGAGCCCCCCCACTTGTGTTGTTTTGGAGCGAATTTTTGGTGTTGGATGCTAAGTGGGTGAACTGTGGATACCTAGCCTACTACATGTTTCGCTAATCTAATACGAAGGCACATGTGCATGACGTATCGTGCATGTTCTGGGTGGATTACTGACTATCTTTGGTTTATCATTTGCATCTCGTCGCTATATTTCGCATTGCACGGGGTGTGGCTCAGCCCCGCCTCCTCCTGCAACTCTTCCAGTTGCTCTGCCAGAGTTTCGAGGCTAGGGATGGTCATCGGCCATTGCAAATGACTGGTGAAATTGAGAGAAGTCTCTGAAGTTTCGAAACATTTTCTGAAGGTAAGTTGAAGCTAAACAACAATTAGTTTCCAGGCAGTTTTTGGGGTTGGAGGATTGAGGTAAGAGATTTTCAAACCATGTTAGTGCCAGCAATAAAGTTGAATGCAAAGGATCATTGTGTATTCCGTTCCCTGATTTGCACCAACACCATAGAAATTGAGGCGTTTTCGATGTGGCCTTGCAATAAATTTTGGGATGCTGCTGTTCCAACTTCGGAATGTTTCATGCCAAACAGCAGCCAAACTTGCAGGCTGCAATCCCATCATCCCATCCCGCATCCCATGATATTTCCCATGTGGTGATATTGCCATTGAATCCCACTAAATTGATGGTTGATGATGTTTGCTGTTTAAGATTATGATCCTTTAATGATATGAAAATATGAATGTTAGGAAGGGATTCCTCTTACGATTCTGTGGCACAGGTTGCCCCACCAGTTTGGCAATGCCACGACAGGAGCCGGCTGCGGCCTGGTGAGGAATGGCTCAACCCATCTGCCAATCTCTGGTTTCATTTCAAACTTGGTCCAAGCTTTAACAAACTGAAATGGTGGACGGCTTCCGTGAAACCATCACAACTAGCCATTAATCAATATTTAGGACACTTCAAAAGCACTGCTTCCGCAAGGTTCTAGTTATGAAGACATTGGTGATGGTGCGTGCTTACTTTAGACATCATCGAACATCATTAGTTCATCCACCGTATCTTAGTGACCCAACTGATTCAATAGATCATTGCTGGTATATCACTCGACATCCAGTGATGGTTCATCCTCCAATTTTTCTTGGCTTCAACCTATAGCAACTCTTAGATACCCTGCAAATAAAGAAAGCTGAGTCGCCTCCTTCGGCTCCATCGACTTAAGCATCTGCAGCCTCAGATCTGGCCCTGCCCTCGAATGTTTGTTGATTGAATCAGTACCTTGGTATATCAGAAGGTATGACTCGGTCTGACGTTTGAACCGTACGCCTTTACGGGAATGATTGTCGATCAATAGATATGTTGGATGGAATCCTGAAGATGTTGGTAAAGGTATAACTTGCCCAACATCTTGCCCAAAGCTTTCAGCAACCAATGCAACCAATAGTCAAAACTGAACGATATATACAAATCAAAGTTTACAAACGGGAGAACTATTGGTATGGAAAGTGGATGGTCTCAGAACCAACTCCTAGAAACAAAACAGAAGCGGACAAAGGTCTGAAACCAACCAGCAATATCCCAGAGGTCTTCGCTACCCATAGGGGCAGTTGTCTGTGGGAGTTGAGATCATACATCAACAGGCCTGGCCAAGAACATTCAGTACATGAGATGGGTGTCATTACATGCTACTATTTCCTTCGCAGTTCAACTGAAACATGTTTTTTTTTGTAGCCGTTTACTGAACAACACATTCATGGATCAATCTTGGGCAACGAGTTCAGATTGACTCAGTTCCAAAGCACTTCAAATGGATTGAAGCGGACGTGCCCAATTTCCCTGGATCAGCTGCTACCATGAACCAATTTCCCTGGATCAGCTGCTACCATGAACCAACAATGAACCAACAATGAACCAACAAATACCGCCACATGGTTTATGCACGCCTGGTTCGTTAAATCAGCAATGTGAGTTCCTTCTGGATATTGGAGTGAATGTGGCCGGCTCAATTGTTCCATCCAGAAACGTCCATGTTGTGTTTCTTCCAATCAAAAATCAGCCGAGCCACGACCAACCGGTTTCCTCATCCTCATCTGCGTTCAGATCCAGTGTGCGACCTCAATCCGACAAAGGGCACTTCAACTGCTAGGGATTCTTGTGGAATTCACAATGAGGTGACCTTCATAGACTGAAAACCTGGTGAAAGTTGAGAGCACCAGGAAATAAATGGGTGACATATGGATTTACACTGGAACACCCAATACACACTCCAAGATTCAAACGTAGCCGTGTTACAAATGCGGAGAGGACTTTTGAGCAATGTGCGAATGTGGTCTCTAGGTCTTCAAAAGAGTTTGGATCAAAGCAAACATCAGTGTGTTCATGGCACTTATTTGGACGTAAATGTTTATTTTCCTAGTGGGGCCAATCGGAAAATGGGAACACGGCCACGAAGCATCTTGTAAGTCATCAACCCAAGGTAGTGTGACCAAGGTGTAGAGCAACATGAAGACTTGCGAAAGAATCCGACAATCTTGGGATTACTTTTTGGTCTAAATTCCACCATTAAACATGTCAAACATAATACTGGGAACCATTAACTTCCATCATTAGCCATTAAATTGGGAACTTAATTGGTTAAGTTTAACATCCAGTAACGGGAAGAACTACATTAATCTTGGGCTTTCACCTTTTCAATGCCCGAAGCCGGAACCGAGACTGGCACCCTTCTTGGAGCGACCCAATTGCGGGGCTCGCAGCCTCCAAAACATCACTTGGTGGAAACTTTGTTAGAAAAAACTTGGGTATTTTAGACAAATCAAGACAAATCATGGAAATCCGCTTGGAGTTTCAAGTTTCACCCAGTTCCACCTAGTTGAATAAAGGTCGTTGATGTTGGAGCCGACATCTCAGCAACTGGCTACAGCATGCTACGGCGTCTCCAGATGATTCACCATGGCATCGTGCCGATCCCTCAGGGATTCCCGAACTTAGCAAATGGTTGGTCTCATCCTAAAGTCTTCAGGATCAAAGTGATCAAAGGTTCCAAAAACATTGACTCATATTGAATCTTCCCACAGAAAGAACCTCACAAAAAATTGTTTTGGGTAATTGTCAGGGTGTACTAAGATGCTACAGTTCCTTTCAGCCAATTTTTGTCCCCTTTTCCTTCACTGAAGCGGCATCGACCCCACCTCGCAGCGAGGGACTTCTCTTTCGGCGCCGAAGAAACTGCGGGTCCGGCGCCAAAGCAGACTGTGCATCTGATGAGCTCAGCTCATAAAAAAGTGCAAGATGTGTGGAACACCGAAACAGAAACTCAACATGATTCTAACTTCTCTAATCCTATGGCAACTCACGGAATGGATTTCCTATTGCAAATGATGCGTGATCATCGGGAACCTGCAGGGGCACAGGACAGCTTGAAAAGCGCATCCGCCTCAGACAACTTGGATATAGAAAATCGGCAGGAAACTCACCGAAAATCTTCACCTGGGCTCCCCACATCCAGGGATTGACCATTCGAGGTCACCACCTCAGAAAAAGCATTGAGAATGGATAAAATGGGTTGCGACATGTGAGAGATTTGATCCTATTTACCTCCAAAAGTTCCGTTTATCTCAACCCATTGAGGTCTGAATGGCCTTAACCCCGGGTCCCCGCACCGTCTGCCGGAACTCCCGGGCACGGCCGTCGGCAAATTGGGGCCGCAGGCAACTGATGTCGATGCTGCCTAAACCTGGACGGGAATCCCATCCCATGAAGAAATCCGTTACTAAACGTTTATTTTTTTAAACAGAGGTATTTACTTTCAGGTGTACACTCATGATCAGTGATGATCTTGATTTATCAGAACTGAGTGATGATTATCTTCCACTAGTGTTTCTTAAGAAACCAGTCAATATTTACATCGAGGAAATCATATGTGCCATGTTCTCAAGCAGCATCATCTTCCCACAATTGTTAGTTGCATCTCCCACTACATCCAATGGAATAACCCTTCCCCAGCAATGATGCAATGAAACTCAGGGGGTATGTGTTCACTCCTGTAACTCACCCAGGATAAAAGCTGCAACATGAAATGCAGTCAACAAAAGGAGATCAGTGGAGATGTGAAAGCCACACTCATCGGTACACAAGCAACAAAGAGGCAAATGCAGCCAACGATAACCAATGAACAGCAAATGTTGAAAAATTATATGACCAGCAACCAGCAAGCTATGGGTTCGAATAATTCCAGGTTTACATCAACCCCAACTAGAAAAAATTCAAAGCTGCAGCTGGAGATTCAGAAAATATAATCTGTCTGACACTATAAACATCCCCGGCATCGGCCCGACAGCACCCTGAGGTTTGCGATTCACCACCTGCATCACCTGACGGACAAGACAGGAACCGTTTAGCCTACTTCTTCTGGTTGTACACAAATTACACAAATATCTTGTAATATCCCTCCTTGATATGAACAATCCGCAAACCTCTTCCTGATACCAAATACAGCCTTAGAAACACTGTTTAGTATTGGATCTGTTCATCTTGAGGGGCCACATTGGAATATCTTTACATTGTACATATTCCTCTTTCATGATGATAAAACTCTGTGTTAAACTTCCATTTTTGGATGGTTTAATTTCCATCAAGCACAATTTTTCAGGGTTTAATCATGTTTTACCAGCATTTTCAACCTGGAACCAGCAACGAAATCTGCAGCGCCTCCTGCACGTGTTCCCAGTTCTGCATTCTCAGCACATCGGCGCGGTCCACGATGCACAACTCCACCGAGGACAAGAAATCGTAGTCGCGGCGCCTCGTGAGTCGCGCACAGATCACTTCAGAACTGTTCATGATTGTGATTCTCTTTGATTATCATTGATTATGGGTGACGTTTTTACAGATCTAATTTAGATCTGATCATGATGATTGGCTTGTTGGCTAGAATTGGCTCAGCAAATCAGCCATCAAATCCATCAAGTCCCGTTCCAGGTAGGTCCCCCAAACTTGGCGAATTTTTGGGGGACCTACCCAGCGCCTTTCACCTTCGGCTCCGGTGATCTGCCGTAGACCCAGGGGTGAGCCTTGGGTGACTTTCGGAAAACTCCATGAGGATCCATGATCCATACATTTCATATACATTTCATATACATTTCATACACATTTCATACATTCATGATTCAGATGAGTGGAAAAGATATGATTTCTGGTTGATGAAATGATGAAATGGGCCATAACGATTGGCCGATTGGCCCTTGAAATGTGGCAGAAAACTAATGGAACCGCAAGAAATCTGTCAATTCCAAAGAAGGAGCAGAGACAACACAAACATTGCTAGGGCTAGGACATGCGCTACTTGCATCTAGAGTTTATGTTTCCTTGTGTTTACTAACATGTCAGGTCCAAAAATCCGTTCCACTAACCAGCAACAATCTTGATAAAAACCTCCGGTCATCGTCGTCCTTGAGCTGCTCACAAATGAGGATATCAGCTCGGTGGAAAGGCGCGTAAAGCCGCATGGCCTGTCACCGATGTCAATGCCTTCACCGGTGAAGGGGTGAAATCCAGACATATCCAGGGCGGGATGAAACCGCTGGCCTTCTTCCACAAAGCTATACCCAGGCGAAAACGATCATCGCTGTTTCCTGCGTGTGCGCGCCACAGTGGTAACCGCTGGTTGCAGTGGTTCATTCAGGTCTAGCGTTTGTTTCTGCTTTAGAATTTACCTCAGAAATTACTCCAAGAAGTGTTCCAGATGTGGCATTGCTTTGATGTTTTCACAAGAAACAGGTCGACCCGCAACCAGGAAAACTGCTTGGCTCTTCAGACCGAAGTCCTCATTTGGTGCATTTGATCGTCATTTGATTTCCGTGTATCCAAAAAGACAGATTTTGGTCATTCTAAGAATTGACCATCCAAGTTTTTGGGTATCCAATCATCATCGTTTGATCTCTGGGCATTAGCAATTCAACATCTCGGGGTTTCTTGTTGATCACACATATATCAAGTATCCCCCGAATTCTCTGGTTGAATGGCTATAGGTCAAAACTCTGGTGCCCTTCTGTTCAGTCTCAGCTGGTATTTACGGATGTTCACCCCCAAATGTTGTAGTTCATCATATTTTAATATATTTCATAGGTTCCAAATGGTTCCAAATGGTTCCAAGTCCGCTTCCCAAATCTCCTCCAAAGAGGTGCTGATAATCTGCAGGCTTCGATGCCTAGATGAGAAAATCCGAAGAATGACGGCAACCAAATTCACACCCGAGAACCATTGGGATATCATGATATATCATTAGCGCGGTTTCATGATGTTTCATGTACATTCTCACCCAAAACAAAAGAAACAAAATGAAGTCATCCCATTCTTTGGGATATCTTAGTGCAGCGAGTTGGTGATCATTTCATCAACACGGCCACGCAAACCAATCAAAGAAGCAAAGGTGTGCCGAGACACAAAGGAGTCATCCTCCCGGGCGCCAAAGTCCTCTTCGAAGCGGTCTTTATGTTTCACCTCTGCTGTGATCTGTGATCGATGCCTCCAAAACTTCTCCATTTTGGGAATCTCGCCATGGTAATTGGAGAAGTTCTGCCAATGATTGGTACTGGTTTTGTCAGACTTTTGGCTGTGTCCTCAGGATATGTAGTATCCCCTAATCAGCCACCAAGAATTGCTAATTTCCCACTACCATAACATTATGATCATTACCCCCCACCAATCAAACATGGCAATGGACGTTTCCCCCATTCATAGATGTTTTTTCTCCAGTAACACCTCCACTTGTAGGAGATTTCAATGGATTTCATGTTTGACCAGAGGGTATCCACCAACAGAATATCATCCCCCCGTATTTGCTGATTCGATCCAGCCATAGCCATGCTGACCTGTTTCTTCTCTGGCATCAGGGCCATCAACAGCTTCACCTCGGAATATCAGTGACATGGGAAGCCTTCTATTTACACATATTGTATGGATAGTTATGTACACATACATCACATACAAATATGCCCTGTGTGTATACACATATAGATGCGATAGAATGTAAAACCTGTCAATAAGATGCGATTTGAGATTGGGATACCATCCACCATCCAGCCCGAGATAGGGTAATTGAGGAGGGAATTGAGACACACAACTGGGCACCCAAAATGAGGGGACAGCCAAATCCTATTGGCTATTCATGTCCTACAGCACAAGTCGTGAATAATAGATCAATAGCCAATGAATAACCCATAAAATAGCAGATGACCTGGACCTATCTTCTATTGTTAAAACATAGCACTTTTTTCTCTTCTCCCATCTCCAGAACAAAAACCACTCCAACTTCAGCTGAGGTCTCTTTGCACCTATTTAACGAATTGATCAACAGATCAGAAAGTGCCACATGGTTGCCTACTGCAGGGCCGAGTATTGCAGTGGTTTTTATCAAGTGGCTCAACAAGATCGACCCCCGCCAAGTTCACATCCATTTTTGAAGCTGTTTCAAATCCTGGGACATCATTCCGTTCCATGGTTTATCACCACTTTAAGCTATAAATATGCATCGCTTTGATACAAAACCAGAATATATCCGCATGAATTGGATGGTCTTGTAACCAACCTCGTTGCTGTTTGTACTAAGATCCATTCGTATCCCCAAGACATACGCTTTCGTTTTGATTGGTCATTCCAGAAAATCGGCCGAATGAAAATCAGTTATTTTTGGGATAGATCAATCTCCATTTGCTGGGATAATTGTCGCTGAAAACCACTGGGTTTCCCAACAAATTCGTAACACACGGAACGGAAGGGGCACAAGACTAAGACCTCGGTCAGACAAAAAAAATGGGGCCAGCAACAAAAAATCTGAATGATACACCTTGAAATTTGGGGATGCATATATATATATATATCTATCTATATATAATATGTATATATGTAAATATATATATATGTATGTATGTATGTATATATACATATATATAAATATGTATATATATATGTATATATAAATAATATGTGTATATATATAATATGTATATATGTATATATATAAATAATATGTATATATATATGTATATACATACATGCATGCATGCATACATACATTCATTACATTACATTACATTACATTGCATTACATTGCATTATATTACTTTACATTACATACATACATACAGACGTACATACGTACATACGTACATACATACATACATACATTACATTACTTTACATTACATTGCATTACATTACATTACCATACATTCATACATACATTACATTACATTACATTGCATTACATTACATTACATTACATTACATTCATACATACCAACATACATACATACATACAGACAGACAGACAAACAGACATACATCAATACATACATACATACATACATACATACATACATACATACATACATTACACATACAACGTGTAAAAAAATTGTTTGTACTCTTACAAACTATATTTAGATATGTTGCAACAATAGTCAAAAATCGCGGGACAGGTTCATATATTCACACCAAAATGGCAAATAAAAACTACACAACATGAGCAGCCAACAAAAACGCAATATTTTAAAGAAAAAGGGAATACGTGGCAAAATTGGGAATGTCTCACCCTGCTGGGAAACCCAAATCGCACCAATGTCAACGCCGCAAACAATGGAACTCAAGCTGATCTGCGGACAAGTGGCATCAGTAAAAGGACCCCCGGGTTGGGCCCTTATCTTCACTCTCCAAAATTCTTGCCAGTCAAAAGGTGACATTGCATGGTTTAATTATGATTTCTCCCAACAAATCCAGAGGAAATCTGGTGATCTCAAAACCAAACCAGCACCGACTTCCGACTTTGGTTGCCACACCCGCGCGGTGGTGAAACCCTTTTCCGCTTGACCTGGGTGGCCAGGATCTTCTCCTCGAGCCTCGGTGTGCCGTTAAAGAATGACCCTCTCATAACTGGGACATGCCGAAGAATTGAGATATCACAAGATATCATTGAGATGTTTCCAAACAAGTGGGACGTAGTCAACAGCTATTCTCACCTGACAGTTGCAACTTGGCAATTACGCAACGTGCATATTTCCAATAATCTTTGCTTCAAATTGTTTTTTTCGCCCCAAAAATCTCATTTGGCAACTGGTAAAAATCCTGGCGCCCTGGATTTTCACACCAACAATAGCTGGGATTCATATTGGTATGATTCTTATCGTCACTTTTATTATTCCTTTGATTCCTACTTCATTTGTGTCATCGCTATAAACATTATCATTATTTTTATTGCTATAATCATGACTATCACTATTATCATTTTATTTTTTTGGTCCAACTAATCATAACATCCGTTTAAAGAAATAAAAGTGGCTTATAGATCTATACAAGTCTAAAGATATAAAAAATAATGACTATCGTTAACATGAATATGATATCCATATAAGAGTATAATGACTACCATTATATTTTACTACCAGTAGTACCGCACAAGGCGGTGGCGGAATTTTCAAAAATAGGAAACCTATGAGAGGTTGGTTGTTGTGAATCACGGATGGCACAGCGAATCCACTGATGGAGCGAAAGGTGGTTCGAGTTGTGTTTTTCGGAGTGGTTGCAGTGTTTGCAGTGGTCACCTCAGCACAACTGCTGGATGTAGTGTGGTGTAGTGCAGTTGTAGTTGTAGTGTAGTCGAGTGTAATGTAGTGTAATGTAGTGTAATGTAATGTAGTGGTAGTTGTAGTTGCAGTTGTAGTGTAGTGTAATATAATTAGTGTAGTGTACTGTTGTGTAATGTCGGGTAGTTGTAGTTGTATTTGCAGTTAAGGCTGTAGTGTACTGCAGTGTAATTAGTGTAGTGTAATGTATTGTAGTTGTAGTTGTAGTTGTATTTGTAGCTGCTGTGGTAGTAGTAGTAGTAGTCGTCGTCGTCGTCGTAGCCGTTGTAGTAGTTGTAGTTGTAGTAGTTGTAGTTGTAGTTGTCGTGGTCGTCGTCGTTGTTGGTGTGGTCGTTGTGTAATTAGTGCAATTAGTGTAGTGTAGTGTGGTGTAATTAGATGTTATTAGTGTAGTGTAGTGTAATCATTGTGGTGCAATGTAGTGTAGTATGTTGTATTTGTAGTTGTAGTAGTAGTGTATTGTAGCGTAGTGGTAGTTATAGTTGTAGTTGTCTATCTATCTATCTATCTGTCTATCTATCTGTCTATCTGCAAGTTTGAACACGAAGCTATTCTGCGAGACTTCGTCAATTTTTCAAGCTGACAGTAACATCAAAAACGAAGCAATTCTGCGAAACGTCCTCAATTTTTGAACTTGACAACGTCAAAGACGAAACAATTCTGCGAGGCTTCTCCGATTTTCGAAGTTGACAACAACAAAAACAAAGCAATTCTGAGAGACAAGAATGGAAAGTTGAGTGCAGAGCTGACGGCCTTGTGCCAATATGTTTTGCAATTTTTCCAGTCCATGTGTCTAAAGTATTGCGCCTGCCACGAAAAAAGTGAGGCCAGGTTATACAAAACCCTGCGCCCGTCACGCAAAATCATCTTCGCAAATCTGAAAATCTGATGCTCCAAAATGCAACCCCTCTCAGGAAATCAGCGGCCTGACCTCTTAACATCTCTGATGAAAATGTCTCTTGTACTGTGCCTGCCACGCGAAATCCATCTTTGCAGATCCTCTTCGAATGTCCCACGCCTGTCATCGCTTTTGGGAATGCCACACAAAACCCTCACGTTTTGCTCACTCTTGGCAGGGTGCAAAATCCCTTGCGCCTGCCACACAAAACGACGCTTCAACGTACAAAAGTGGCGCGAACATGTGGTGTTTTGTGCATTTTGACTTCGGAATGTGCTTCTCGTCACAACAGCGTCAGCTTTTTGAACATCTCATCTTCCAAAAGTGCTCTGAACGCGGAGTGTTTTGTGCATTTTTTTACTTCGAAATGTGCTTTGCGCCACAACGGCGTGCACTTTTCAACATCTCAAGTTCAAAAGTGCTCCGAACATGCGATGCTTTGAATATTTTGATTTCGAAATATGCTTCGTGCCACAACAGCGTGAACTTTTTCAACAAAGTGGATCCGAGCATGAAGTGTTTTGTACATTTTGACTTCCAAATGTGTTTCGCGCCACAATGGCGTTCACTTTTTCAACATCACAACTGCCAAAAATGTTCCGGACATGAGGTGGTTTTAGCTTTTTCACTTCCAAATGTGCTTCGCGCCACAACAGCGTGCAATTTTTCATCTCAGCCAGAAGGCTCCGCACCCGCCGCTTTAGCGAGCCTACTTTTCGACCCTCCGGAGCCACAAATCAGTGGAAAAACACAATGAATTGCGACTTTTTCTACCTTTTCGCGCGCCTGCATCTTCTTTCCTCTGACTCTTTCTCTTCTCTGATCTTCTTTCTTCTTCTCTTCTCTTCTCTTCTCTTCTCTGACTCTTCCCACCTCTTCTTTTCCATCTGTCCATATTGTCGGAAGTTTGACTTCTAAACTTCCTTCGATAATGTCTATAGGTATCATTTATTAACATCTACAAATGTTCATCCCATATCGGTTTCTTCGATTGCTCACCTTTCGCAGGTGGTCCACCACATGCAGCGCATATAACGCACGAAGGGCCTTGGCGCCACGCGCAACTGGGAGATGCGATGTTTGTGGATTTCATGGATTTCATGGATTGATTTAAGGGAAAAGCTAGGGGAAAATGATGGTTCTTACCGCATATATTGGAGTGCAACATTTTTGCTTCCGCTCTGGGATGAAAAATTCATGGACCAAAGACATATTTCTAAATTGCAAAGATCCAAGTAGATGAGATCTACCTCACAAGGTCGAGGTTTCCATCTTGCGGATTCTGATTCAGAAAGATAGGGTGATGGACACCCCATAAGCAAAATCATTCATATCATTAACACATCTAAGAAGCGAGCAATGGCAATGATCTCATAAAAATCTCATAAAACTGATGCTTTTGGCTTCCGGGCTCGGGCATTGAGATGGTTCTGTTGGGGAAAGGACACGTCCAAGTAGACGTGCAAGCAGAGAAAGAAGGCGCCTTCAGCTGACCTTTGACGATTTTCTGGTGCCAAATGGTGAACAAAACCGTTATAAGAAATCAACTGTGTCAAAACGAAAGCTTTGGGCTTTGCAGTAGTGATAGAAATGATGATGGGGTGAATGGCCAGGAATTAGGGTGAACCAACCCATCTATGGGACTGCAGGAATGAGGGATTGATGAACTGTGCTTGCCACTGACTAAGTGAGATGGATGTGATGGATGTGGCAGCTCCCCCATGAGAACCGCTTTGTTTGTTAATAGGTGCGTGACACAACTGTGGACACATAAGATCCTGTAAACGAAGCATGGTAATAACTGGTAGTAGTTCATATACCCGTAATATTCAGGGATCGCACCTTTTAAGCATCTTGGGTTCAACAAAAACTCATGTTTTGAGAAGAAAGGGGACATGGACAAGATTTCCGGTATTTGTATGCGTATAGAGCAGTTGTTCATGTCAAGGAACTGAAGATTTCTCGGCAATGGCAGCAGGTTCGATTGTTCTTTTCTGACTTTGCGTGACGCTCCAATCTGTCGCCGTGCAGGGTTTCGAACGCGCAGTCGGCATTCCAAATTCATCAGTTTTTGGGATGGTCAAAACTTTTGAACTTTGCGTACCAAACAGGTGGATGTCGGCCTCACTATCTTTGGGCCTGAGGCAACAGCCATCGCTGAGTTCACGGCAGATTTTGTGCCTTTCCCCTTCATTTGGTCAAAAACAACGCAGAGATCTCCATCTTTCTGGGTGAACTTAAAAACTATAGTTATATTCAGCTATATTAGTTGCATATATAACCATAACTATAGCAAACTATTACTGATATTTTGATGATTTAGTTGTCTTGCGCCAAACTTGACCATCCACGGCAGCTTTGATCACCAAAGCTGCCACAGTGCGCAGCCACCATCGCCGTTTGGCTCGGTGCCGTGCGAAACCAACGGCACGGAGCACAGGATTCACCACAGTCGAATTTCCAAGCGACGTTTACATTGTAACATTGTAGCAACATGTAGCGCAAACATGTAGCAACCTGGTTTTTTTCCACCAGATTTGACAACAAAACCACAGGGTCTGAGTAGATTTGCTAACATCGAACAGCGATGCTTCTGGCAAATCCGAAGATCTGCCGGGATAGGAGCTTCTAAACGTGGTGGACTATGGATGACTATGGCATGTGAAAATCCTCAATGGAACTTAGTTCGTCCCAGTAAGTCACCTCTGTAACTGCTTCACAGTGATGAGTCCGAAATCATGGACACCAATTCTCTTTGGGAATTCATGAACTTCCCCCTACACAGAGAACATGCAAGGGGTCACTCTATGCCGAAAAAGTGATCTTCAAGAATTCTACCGTCATACGAATGACATCCAGTGGTGTACCTGTCAGCGCATGGTCCCAAGGCATCGATCAAGGCCTCCGATGTAAACTCCTCTCATCCGGCCTCAGGGAAGGTGATGATCTTACAACATTTTCAATGCTGGTTGGTGATGATGGTTAGTGGTTGTTGATGTTGATGTTGATGATGACGATGACAATGACGATGACGATTTTGATGTTGATGTTGTTGTTGATGCTGATGATGATGATGATGGCTGACAAGTACTGGTTGATGATATCCAGCGATCCTTGCAATGGCAAGTGTTTTCTTTATCCTTGCCATCATAGCAGTGGTGGGAACTATGAGATACATCAGGAATTCTACATCTCGACGAGGCACTGTTGCCTCCTCTGGTCTCTTATCCACTGGACAAGACAAATATAGACAAAGTGTACAAGTAGCAGTAAGTAGCAACATGCAACGACATGCAACAACTATCCTATGCCACTGATCTGGAAGAAAGTGGTACAATCCCAATAAACCACCATGTGTGCAGCCCTTGGTCACATGATTCCCTTTTAAAGCAGCCACCAAGTCACAGGGCGATACAGTGGCCATTGCGGATACTTGCCTGGCGAATTATTCCAAGATATTCCAAGGATACCCGAAGATCATACGAACACTTTTGTCAGTTGTGATCGCCATCTCAATGAAGAAATGGTTCAATTCCAAAGGATGATATTGCACTTAACAATCCGCCGTGCTTAAAATATTTCGTGAATGGAACATCAGCCGTTGCCATGGTCAATGGCGGAAGAGTGCCAAATGGGTTCATTGCGCGGATGATTTTCCAGAAATCCAACTAGGTAATTCTCCGTTGAATCTGGTTGAACAAAAATGTTGTCAGCTGGAAAATACCCAGGAAAACTGCTGATTTGTTCAGTTGGTTTTGATCAACTAGCTTCATGGTTGTCAACTAAATCCGAGATTTTCACCATGTGCGAACTACTTGGCCACAAGTAAACAGCACTTGAACAGAGTCTATGGGCAGCTTTTTCCACCCAGCTTTTTTTTGAATCCGGTGGATCTTAGTAGCAATCATCATTTGAACCCCTGGAGTGGCTGGGCTGCCATGGCGCCTGGTGTCTGGATCGGAGAGTGGTTCTTGGATGTCTGGCGCAGAATCGCAAGGGGAGTGGGTGTCAATGATGGGGACACTATGGATGCACAGGTCTCACGCAGTCATGCGAGCCGAATCAGGAAAGCGGTTTCAGAACACTGATACAAGGAATATGTACAGCGTCGAAGAACAATGCTTTTATTTGGAGACAAACAGAAACGGGTGGTTTAGCAAAATGGAGATTCAATAGAATATTCAGAATATGGGTCTAATGCATGCGCATCATACATGAAACCAGCGAGACCTGCATAGTCAAATGGAACCAAGCTCACGGAGATAGGTGATGTAACCAGATAGGCGATAGCAATTGAACAACAAAGAGACAGGGACTAAACATTACACCAGCGGTTTAGCTAGTGAATAGCATGCCGCCATGACACCCAGTGTCTGGTCAGTATGAACATCCGTATCTCAAAATGAGTGGTTGGCGGTTGAAGATGGCAGCTGGCCACATATCAGGTTTCGGGATGTCAAACAACTGGACATGTCTCACCTGGACTAGTTGAAGGTACAAATGGCTTCACAACCAAGTGGATGAAGGAAACAGTTGCAGGAGACCCCTAACCTTACAATAGTTGGAAACAATTACGTTATCTTGTGAATTTCCCGGGAATCAACCCAATGAAAAACAACAAACGCTTGAAAGCGTTCCACTTACTTGGCTCTTCAGCCAGCACAGTGTCAGATCTCAGCTCCCTGTTGGGTATCTCCACAACGTCTCCCATCAGCAACCCAGCCTCCTTGCTGCTCTTGCGGGATTTTTGCTGCGATAACTCGTGATGCACTCGTTGGAGCTCTTGATTCTCCTTCGAATTTCTGATCACGGCAATTGAGTAGCGGGTGCAGGCGGATGTTGGTTGGTTCCAAGGGAATTTAAAGGGATTTTGGAGGTTTCTTACCCCAAATCAAATTTTGTTTTCACATAAGTCTTTGGCAAATCTGGTCACCACCTCAAGGTCTATGAGGTTTTCTTCCAGTATGAAACATGTGGCTGTTTGCAATACTGAGGGGTGTTAGCCTCTTTCATTCAAGTGACTATATACCAAACTGCATAAACACACATTTCATATCATTTCATCATTCTTGATGGTATTCCAATTCTAGTTCCCCCTCTATGCACCCTTTGTGAAGTGTGATGCGACATTCCGTGGCTTTACCTTGGCCATGAATTCTTGGATCATCTGATCGTTTTTGGGAATGCACATCAACATGATAAAAACAACATCCTGGAAGCATACTCCCAAACTGTGGAGGATCATAGGTTTTTGTTGTCCACTCGTCCACTCCCATATCTCAATTTGGTCTTTTTGATAGGGCTTCAGCTTGAATTCATGCACAATCCCTATTCTAAAACCATCTTGGTCGATACACTGAACTGAAATGCCATAGTGAATGTTTACAAAGCGACATGGAAAATCCACCATATCCACCATTTAAAGACATTCTTAAAAAATAACATTTGATAGATCATTTCCATATCAGTGTTGTTTATATAAACTATCATAAAGATATCAAGATGAAGCCAACTTGTATAAAAACAATATAATATTATATTAACAATATAATGATGTATCATAGATGTATATAAACTATCATAAAAATATCATACAAGATGAAGCCATGGCAACATGGTTGGTGGTTTTCCATCCCATGGGCGCCTGATGAAGGCGTTGCAGCATCTCACCCAAGGTCTTGCCCGACATCATCGGCTCTTCGGCCCCAGGTCCGGCGCCGCCCCGAGAACATTTCATGGAGCCCCCGGGTCCCATCGGACCTGGCAAAACGCTGTGAAACTCTGTGAAACTGGTTTTTTTGTTTAAAGATGAAAAGAACTCCAGCTGATCCCATGAGTTTGTCAGATGACCTTCTCGATTGATCTAGGGCATTTCGTTTTTTCAATCATCCAATCCATTGAAGTCTCTTTTTCATTCTTTTTCTACATCATTACATCTATCCAGAGGGACAACATGAACCGCGAAGCAGCGCCAAGCTGCTTTTGGCTCGGCCAGGTGCAACCAGAGGTCCGCTGACCATCTGTCTGCCTGGGAAATGATACATCTGTATCGATGATCACCAGACCATGCAATCGAGATACCAATCGACTATGGGAAATGAATGGTGATACATCTATGACTCAAAGTACACTAGATACATCATGATACATCTATGACCTTTGAACACTGAACTTGCTGAGTTGGATCCAAATCATCAGTGTTCGCCAAAAATCAGATCCCAAATTCATGACACTTAGAGACACCTCAGTGGATTCGCCTTTCATTCGCATGGGAGCCATGCCTGGAAGCACTTTGACCTGTCTCGCAAAAAATACCTAGTCTCAACATGTCCTGCGCTCTCGATATTCAACTTGCACAAACTATTTTCGGATCTGCTTCAAACCAGATTTCAAACCATATCTCATCAGAATACAATCATATTATAGCCATATTATAGCCATATTATAACCACATTTTTACCATTGAATTAAACATATATATATATATATACACACCATATATCATATATCACATATCATATCACACACACATATATATATATAATCTCATGTGTGTATATATCACATATAGATATAGAGATATATATATAATATTTAGATCAAAAGATTCTCAAAGAATCAGTTGGCTCAACCACGTAAACCCTTTTTACCTCGGGCAATGCGATCTTGAGCCAAACAGTTGGCCATGGTATACATTTGTAGACCTGGACCACTGGATGTTTGGCATATGAATGAATTAGTTAAAACAAGTGGACATGTATTAATGTCAGTTCGAGCAAGCTGGATTCCTGGGTCTAGTGTACTTTAACATGACCGCATGCAATGGTTATGAATTCCAGTCTACATTGATTGCTATGGAAGCATTTGTTGGTGATACTACATTGCACTACACTGCACTACGTGAGGAGGCATATTACTCGTAATCTTTCTTTTCCCCCTTTTGGCGTTGGACACCTGTACAGACTTGGATGGTGTGATGACCTGGCTGCCACAGAGAACTCCAGTGGTTGCGGTGCACAAGTGCATCTCACTCCCAATGGCTCTGTAGATGGCAGATCAAAACATCTCATCCTTGCATCCAGACAGACAAGACAGACTGGCTGTACATAAGGCAACCTACAGGAAGATTATGGACTACGTAGATACCTGGACATTTAGTTGTTGCAAAGCTTCCGGCCATTTTGCCACCGGGAGTGGCTTGGTGAACGGATCAGCTCTTTGCATCGCAGTCTTGATGTAGAGCAACAGGCAATCGTCATTTTCTTTGAAGACTTCATGGATTGAACCTATATTTATGCGGAAAGTCTTATTGAGGTGTCGGAGTTTGGGACTATACCCGGCAGCAACAATTTGGATAACCGCGGAGTTATCTTGATAACACACAAGTTCAACCTGTCTACCAAGAATCGTCTCTAAGAGCTCTTGCATTGGCAGCGCTTCAAGAAACAAACCTGCACCTAGCGACACCATTTCGGCTTCTGTTGTGCTGCGTGCAGTTGACGTCTGCTTGCGGCTAGCCCATGAGAGTGGCCACCATGAATGTGGACCTTCCAACGTCATGATCATGCCGCTGGTTGATTTAGTATCTTCTTGTGCAGAACAGTGATCGGCATCCGTGTAACAACACAAACGCAACAACTCTGGTGGGTCCCTTATGTAACCTTTGAGAGTAAACTTTCTAGATCCATAAAGGTAACTCATTAATCTATGGAGGCGCTTATCATCTGCGACACTCCAACACGTCAGTCTACGTGTAAGATCTGAGATAGCTTTATTGAGATCAGGCCTTGCCAATCTGGCACACCACAAGACTTTCATTAGTATGCGAGATGCTTCTGCTGACAATGAACCCTTTACATCCCAATCGGAATCAGTTAAACTCCCATCATTGACATATGGTGAGGCTGCTGGCTTTAGCTTACGTTTGCTAAGCGTCTCATACAGTTCACAACAGTTATCAATGAATTCGGTCATTTCGAAGGCACAAGTTGTTCCTTCCTTGCTTCTTGAAATGCTATGCTCTCGGCCGAGGATTCGGCTGACTTCAGCTGGTTCATCCAGCTCCAAGTGGCGCTGCATTTCATCCCAAAAGAGCTTATGCTGTGATGAGGGTCCTGATACCACTACATCGTCTACGTAAAGACTCAACAGAAGTTTATATTTTGGGATCCAGAAGTTACTTTGGAAGGTATCGATATGTTTTGCATCAAAGTATGTCATGACTTCTCTAAACCTCATATCCCAATGATGTCCTGCCTCTGGATGGCCATACAACGACCGCCATAGTCTGACACATGGTCGCTTGATATGTTTGAACTCATCAGGAACCAGTTCAGGACTTAGCTCTACCCAAGTTGGTACTTTCGTTCCCAACCATGATTGAAGGTAAGCACGGACAACATCTGATTGCGTTGTTTTGTGGCCTGGTAAACTTCCATAAGCAAGGTTGGCATTGATGCCAGCCATACCCGTAGGGCTCACTTTTGATTCCAACAAAACCGCAAGATTTCCTTCATTGTCCCTTATGTCATCCCCTCTAAACACTATACGGGCTTTAAGCTTCCTAAGAGCTGGGGTTTCCCAATGTTTGACTGAGAGAATTGTCATGATTCTACCTATATTGATGTGCTCTTTGCGTTTCATGAGCTCGTCTCTAGGCACTACTTCATCATAGTTCCAAGTACCATTCTCCAAGACACCATCCCGTTCTTTCTTGATTGCATCAAGATAACCTTCATGCTTGTGCCAGTCCTTCCTGTCGATCAGGAGGTGGATACCTGCATCAACTTCAACTGCTGTCGGCTGGTGATGTGGTTCTGGCTGCATGGGTTTAACAGGCATTGAAGGTACTATCTCGGGGTACAAGGAATGACTAATGCATTGTGCCATTTCATCAGTATAGAATGCAGATTTGGGTGTTTTGGAACCTGCCAGGTGCGAATGCTTGAAATCCGGTGGATGACTGCATTTGTACGCATCAAGGTTTCTTGCCAACTGATACGAACTTGTTACAATCCTCCAAGGTTTATAATGGGGGTTCCCCTCATTATCCTTTAAACCGAATGCACATCCGTCCGGCTCGGCGACAAACAAATCATGCTTCTTAATGAACTTCACAAGCTCTGGAATTGACCAGCCAGAGCATCCTCTGGGCCACTCAAAGCACACATGTCCTCCATCTAGCAAAACCTGCTCTGCGCAGCGAATGTAGTTTTTCAGGATTTTTATGGACTTCTTACGTGCGGCTTTGAGCCTCTTTGCATACCCTTTACCACCTTTTGCAAGATTCACGTCCTGCCAGCGGGACCAAGGGCCGCAAGGAATTGAACCCCAAAGGTCTGCTCCTGGGAACAACTTCATGACTTTCAGCAAGTCTTGTACTTCTTCATCATCTGCCATGTCTGAAGACTTTTCTGTCAAACGGAAGTGTTCGATGTTTCTTTCCTCGTTGGCTTTGCCGAGTGCGGAGTCTTCAGAACAACAAAATTCAAACATGACTTTGGAGTTTGACCCTCTGGCTTTTCTAGCTTCGGACGGCTTAACCTGTTCTACACCTTTGGCAGCCTGCTGGATTTCAGCAGCAAGACTCGGGTGATCCAGGCTGGCACTAGCTAAGAAATGCTCACTCCTTTTGGCGAACCTTTTGGAGGTTCCATCGGATCTGGCTATGTTGGCTTGGCATGCTTTTACTTTTGCATGATCATAGTCTACCCTTTTATTTGGGAAAAACCATGTCGCCCCAATCCAACTTTTAGATGAAATCCTTTGGTGTGGATGTACTTGCCAATTATCTTTATAAACCGAAACAACACCTTTGCATTTCCATTCTGTGACACGTTGTGGACCGATTTCATCTGCACTGAAAGGGCAGTCCTTGCCTACAGGAGCATAGAGTCTTTTTCGGGGTCTAACATGATTCATTTTCCATGCTGACTTAAGATCATCATATTCCCAAAAATCCCCAGGGTTACTATCATCTGAGCTCCTCCCATGGTCTTGCACCCCTGGTGCGGCGTGGCAACTGGCAAAGAATGCTTCGACTTCCAAGGAGTTTTGTGGATGTGGCGCACAAGTGCGACTCACACCCTGCTCAGCTGACGGCATTGCTGGAGTTCTTGGTGCTCCAACTGGCGTGTCTGGTGCAGGCGTATCAGGAACTGAAATTCCCCTGGCGGAGGCTTCTTTGGCCATACGATCCTCTTGCAACAGAGTGCGAAACCTTTCATGGCAAGCATCTGAGTGAGGAACGCCCTCAGCAATACGGTCACAACCCTTACACCCAATTGTTTTACCATATTTAATTGCACGTTCCAGTGTCACATACGTCTTGCGTTTGCGAACAGCTGGAGGCGGGGCTGGCCCTTCGAAAGGCAAGGCTTCTCGCTCGGCAATGGATGGCAACTTGACTGAAGGTTGAAACAGATTCAACTTTGCAACCGATGCTTCATACAGAGGAAAAATAAAGTTCCCTTCGGATGGTTCAACCAACTCTGTGGAATACACTTGGATAGGTCGGCCAAACCCTTTTGATTTTGTTCGGAGGTTTTCATAGTTCAGGACTAGATGAACATTTCTATGCACAAACCCCGCATCAACCCTCCATCCCACGAATATACCAGGAAAAGTTCTTGGGCTAAACGCTGGCAATTCTCTATGTTTCGGGGGTTTATAATAGACCAAGGCACCCAACGGAATTCTCAGGCCTGTGAATGGCGAACCGCCATTTGCAGCTTCATAGCATGTAAGCATGGACTTTTCCGTCTTGACCTCATCCTTTTCATTAGGGTGTATTGGCGCAAGAGTGCTAAAGCTACGTGCTACGCAGAAGTATTCAACACTTCTGGGCCACAAGTCATGAGAAAAACCTGCCTTAAGGTGGATTGACCTCACACCTTCTTTGATGGATCTAATGATGCGTTCTAGTTTGGCATTATGGTAATCATCATTTGGGATTCCCGGATCAGGTAACCAACCCAGATATTTAACCGCTTCGACCAATTCTGTGGCGCAGTCAGTTTTGACGTTGCA